AATATTTTAAACGGTAAAAATTTAAGATTATCATTTTAACCTTAATCATAAAGATAAATTAAAATAAATTTTAATTATTGCAAATTATATTAGAATGAAATGTTAGTTAATTTTTAAAGTTAAAAAAATTAAAATTGATCCATTTATATTAAATTAAAGTAGGGTTGGTATTAATTCAGTTTTAAAAAATATTAATGATTTGTCTAAATGAAATTAAGTAATAATTTGAATTTAAATCCTTTTATAAAATGTAAAATATAAAGATAAGATAGTAAGATAATTTATTTTAGTAAAAATAAAATCAATGAATTAAAAAACAAAGAAATAATAATTATAGAACTATTAAGAAATCAATTATTTTTATTAATAAATGTATATTGTAGACAATAAATAAATAATGATATTTTGGTTTACTCCAAAACATTTTTTTTCCTTGTTTAATTAATGCAGACGAAGACAGGGAAAAGAAAATAATCAGATACGAGGTTATTCTCATTCCTCCCTTTCTGTCACACTTTAAGAACCCATTAATATGTCTAAGGAATAAAAGAAATTCAAAATTCATATTTGCTTATGGATGGGATGAGATTATTTCTATATTATTATAAAGTAAACTAGTATCTATAATACCATGTTAACAAAGATTATTCCTTATTTAAAAAAAAACACATTGTATATATAGTTTTTTTCTTATGATATCTCTTAATAAATAGAAATATTGAATAAATAAAGTAACAAAATATATATACCCTTTCTATTATATTAAGTTCCACCAATTATCTTTAAATTTTGCTATAACACTTGGACGTGAGAAATTGTCACTGCTATTATTGATATGGGATCTTTGCCTACGAAAAAAAATTAAACCAAAGCCTAAATATTTTAGGGTTGAATTAATATAAATTTTTTAAGTTATTATATTTCTTTAACCCTGGTTTATCTTAACTAATTGAGATTAACTTGTCAACATTTTTTAATGTATTCATAAGAAATATTTTTTAATAATCAGTGGCACATTATCACTTATTAAATTTTTCTCATATTATTATTGTAATCTAATATTTGAGTTTTGATTTAGGCACGGTAACTTTGTTATAGAAAAAAGAAAATAAAAAAATAATTCAATTAGGCGAAATATAAATTAAAAAATAGTTATAACTTACGCACAATTTCATTTTAGTGTATTAAAACATTTATTTTTTCTTACTTTAACCCAAGTAAAATTTATAAGAAAATTATTCAAATAAAATCTTACTTTTTGTTTTCTTATATCAAGTTACCTAATTTTGAACGAAAATATACTTTTATCTTCTTTCTCTATATTAGTTCGTTTGCTAATACTACACAATTAAAATCCAATTTATTCTCACAAACATGAACAAATTATCAATTTATTATTATTCAAGGCTTGATCCTTCAATGATATATAAATTAAAATGATTTTTTCATTAAAAGGAGGACCATTTTAATGTAAAACAAATTTTACTAAAACAACACTTTTTAGTATGCTTTTATATATCAAAAGTAATCTCTTTGGTATAGTATCTGAAGAATTTGATTGGTAACTTCAAACTGATGTCTAAAAAATCGTTAAGATCAAATAAAGCTTGTATTCTGGTCATTTTAAAAATTAACAATAATATACCGCATATTGTATATTTGTTATTAATTTAACTAATAATGATGTAAAATGGATCAAATGATTTAAGTAACTTTTATAAAATATTACATATTGAATAACTTGTAAATTTTATGAATGCAACCTTTGAATTATATATCAAATTTTACGGAAGTGAACAAATAATAAAATAGTTTATATTATAGAATATTTTAAAAAGTACATGTCATGTGAATTATGATTGGTATAACTATCATATTAATATTAAGTAGTTTTAGATTAATATAAAATTTTACATACAAGGTCTATCTAACGGAAATATGTATAATGAAGTAGAATATAATTTCTGTAAATAAAGTTAACTTAAAATTATTCTAAAATAATTATAAATTTAAAAATTTTACAAAATTATATTCTAATACAAAACTATATATATATATATATATATATATATATATATATATATATATATATATATATGACCGAACGATCCTTACAAAACTATACACAAAAATTGATCGGTCTTAATCTAAGCAGTTGAGTCCTCTACATCCAGTGCCTGCTTTAGAGAACACTCGTCATCCTCTGCTCACACCCACACGATGATCATTGTAAAGAAGAAATACCGAACAGACCACATATACAAGACAGAAAAAAAGGGTAAGCTAGTGTAATTTAATAGTCATGTAAGCATACGATTCAAACAAACAGATCAGATAATCATACACATGTATAACACAAACACATATTGACCGACCACTTTAACTCGACCGTCCGGACTAGTATGAATATGTAGCTTTGGTCGTTCGTGCACTCGTGGGTGTAGTAACCGGAAACCAATCAGCTATCGCACGAGGTTATCCTGTTATTACTCACCGTAGGACCTCCCTAGGCTAGGGCCTCTTGTTATTCTCACGACATGACTTACCCATCTCTACTTAAGACTTGATAATCATTCGAATGTCAGGATGAACGTCGTGGATTTTGGTGTCCATATTCATACTTTACTACCACATTGATAACCAATCACTAAGACATTCCTCCTTGGAATTCTCTTTCATACCAGTTGGAACATCATACTTTATAACAACATTCACTCCATTATTCATACATGTTCATATAACTGAATTTAAACAAGTTATCAAACAACAATGTAAACCACATGCAAGACCGAACACGATGCGTACTTTGGAGACCAAACGGTTTCTCACTACCCCAAAGAATAGGACCAAACGGTCCATAATAGGTAAGGTTGAAGAAGTGAGCGAACACTATTAAGGATCTAACTGTAATTTAAGGCCGAGTACTATGGTGAGATTGAACACTAGAATAACCGAATCACCAGAGCTAAATCGAACACTTATAACTTAGGCCGAAAACTAAGAACTTAGACCGAATACTCAGGTAAGACCGATCACTAAAACATGACCGAATGATCATTAACAGGTAAGGCCCATAGGAGGCTGAACGTAGTTAAGACCAAACACCAATACACAATCGAGCGCTACTAAGACGAAACGCTAGTACAAAACCAAACACTGCTAAGACCGAAGGCTAATACAAAATCGAGCATTGCTAAGACCGAACGCTAGTGCAAAACCGAATACTACTAAGACCGAATGCTAATACAAAATCGAGTATTGTTAAGACCGAACGATAATACAACCCCGAGTACTACTAAGACCGAACAATAATACAACACCGAGCACTACTAAGACCGACGATAATACAAAACCGAACACTGCTAAGACCGAACTATAATATAAAACTGAACACTTCTAAGACCGAACGATAATACAAAACCGAACATTGCTAAAACCGAACGATAATACAAAACCGAACACTGCTAAGACCAAAAGATAATACAAAACCGAACACTGCTAAGACCGAAAGATAATACAAAACCGAACACTGCTAAGACCAAAAGATAATACAAAACCGAACACTGCTAAGACCGAACGACAATACAAAACCGAACACTACTAACACCGAACGGTCCTTAACTGTAATGTTCCGCAAAGGCTGAACACAGCTAAGACCAGACGTAAGAGTAAGGCCGAACGGTCATCGACTTCCTCTTCTCCCAACCAACCAATTTAACTTCTGACCCCAAATTCCCATTTCACTACTCCACTTCCTCACAATTCACTTGACAGTCCATACATACAATACCGATCACACAAAAATCCAATTCCATACACATGCAAAACCATCAAACAACATTTTCATACATCATCAACCAATCAATTAAATTAACTAACTTCCCTTACCTCTTAACCTGCAATTTGCTCACACTTCCAGAAAATCCTAAGAACACCTATAGCTCACTGATTTATGAGAAGAGACCAACCAAAGTACCAAAAATGAAGTTAGAAAGGAGAAGAGAAGGTTGATGAGCACATGCAAACAGAAATTCCATAAATTCGCAAGAATTAAAGGAATGAAACTTACCAGCTCTAAACACTAAACCGATCGGTGGAATGGAAAGCTCTTTGACACCAGGATTGCTTAGGCATGGTCTGATTGTTGAACAGATGAAGAGAGATTGAATAAATCTAGAGAGAAGAAGGAGAAAAGAAGAGAGTACAAGAATTTAGAGAGATACAACTGTAATCAGAGAATGGGACAAAACTTTTTAAAACTTTTCATTTATATATCACTCTTATTTTAATCTAAACCGTTCAGTCTCATCCTTTGCTTACACCTGTCTACTCCAAACTTCTTGAAACCTCTCGCTCTTACAAAATAAACGGTTTATTTTAATAATGAATTTTTAAAACAAAAATTCCAATCGAAATGAATGATGTAATATTTAATAAAAATTTACTTTTTTGTTTTGCAGCTGTTTTGTTGGTTGGGTTGACGTATGGTAGCATTTTGGTTCCGTAGGAAATTTATGACTCTGCACATACCATCATTATGAAGGGACAAAGAAGCGAAAACAGCCACCTCATCGTAATGTAGAAGAGGCAGCGAAGCATCCGATGAAACAAGACTTGAAGATTTGTGGAAGACAAGTATACATTGTTTACTTCTTTGTTTCTTTACTGATTATTTGTTTATTAAGTAATTGTTGAGTATGAAATTATAATGATTAGTTAATATGTTTTTAAATTCTTCTTTGAATTTAACTTGTTTTGTATTGCCTAAACAACAAACATAAGGGTAAGATGTATAAACACACCAGAACCTCTTAAAAATATCTAAGCAAAAAGAAGAAGCTAAAGGTGTCAATTTGAGTAATAATTTATGCATAAAGAGTATATTATTATATCCAATGTTAGTGTATACAGTTCAGAATTTGTTTCTGATAGCAAACACAACTCCACTATTCTTCAGCTATAATAATAACGGCTGCATAGATAGCACACCTAAGAACACACCACTTTCATTTTTCTCTTAACTCATTTTCTCTCAATAACCATGGCTCATCTGAGCCACAAGACCTTGAATTATCTTCCTGAAACTCTGTCTGAACATGAAGCTGAGGAAGGACAACCTAATAGTGTTGGTTCCTTTTCGTTTTGGCCTCCTCATTTGGAGAAAGTTTTCCCCGTTTATGCCATGGGAATTCCCAACCCTGTCTTGGATTCTTCACTTCAAAATTCAGATTGTTTTGATCCTATCTGGGATGATGTCAGAAAAGAAGCACATTTAGAGGTACCCATCATTTTTTTCCTCTTTTGTTTAGCCATTGTGTTCCCTCACCTTTTTTGGTAGCTGTTGTTGTTTGAATCTTCGGTGCTGAGCGGAGCATTGACGTGAATAATTGACAAGTTCATGGATTGTTTGTTCTGTTTTTTCCCTCTAATCATAAGCTGTGTTTAATTATATGATGAAATATGAACTTAGGTGCTTCATTTTAAATATTTGGAGAGCTGGAGAACATTTACATGTTTGATAGCTTAAAGATATACCTTTATTTGGGTGCAGGCAGAAAGGGAGCCGATTTTAAGTAGCTTCTTCTATGCCACTATTCTGTCTCATGATTGCTTGGAGCAAGCATTAGCTTTTGCTTTGGCCAACCGACTCCAAAAACCTACTCTTTTGGCTACTCAGCTGATGGATATATTTTCTACTGTGTTGAAGCATGATAAAGGTATCCAACATTCGATTCGCTTGGATATTCAGGTAACTCATGTTCTCTATGTGTAGGAGTAGTACATGAAGTTCACTTTCTATCACTAAGGAATTTGCATTTTACAATGATCTGATTTGATTCATCTCGGAATATTTTTCTTATAGGCATTTAAAGATCGCGATCCTGCTTGTTTGTCATATTGCTCAGCACTTTTATATATGAAGGTAAAACATTTACTTGATTCACATCTCAATCTAGCTACTAGAAATTAAGTGCAAACATTCTGATGATGCCATACTTTTGTCTCACTAGTCGTGTATAAATAAATTTATGCAAAGGAATGTCATATTTTTTACATTCTATGTACTTTGCTATGAGGAGGGTGCTATTGATTAATGTTTCTGAATCATGTATTGATACTAACTTGTTCATTATGTTGAAGCATTTGATTGAATAATATGGTGCTTTTGTGTAACATTCAGAGCATTTTCTTCTATAATTTGTGCCCTTCCCCCAACATTTTCCCCTTTCGTTCATAGGATTTATTCTCTGACAGGGTTATCAGTCTTTGCAAGTACATCGAGTAGCTCATGCTTTGTGGGGCCAGGGTCGCAAAGTTTTAGCCTTAGCTTTGCAAAGTCGAGTTAGTGAGGTAGTGTCTGCACTTGGTAAAAAAAATGGAGAAAACTTCATAAGGGTATTTCATACTACAATTGCTGATATTCCAACCCCTTATTTTCTCCACTGCAGGTTTTTGGAGTTGATATACATCCAGGTATGTTAGATTGATGTTTGCATGCAAATGAGGAATACTTTAGTATAGTAAAAATTATGTGAATAACGAATTTCCTTAATAGAATAACCAGTTTCATCTTTATATTTTCCATCTGTTTCATTCGTTGTTTATAGCTGCGACAATTGGAAATGGAGTTTTAGTAGATCATGGGACAGGTGTTGTTATTGGTGAAACTGCTATAATTGGAAACAGAGTTTCACTGATGCAAGTGAGTGATGTTTCACAAATCATGTCTTGTATGATAGTTTTGGCTAATTCTTTTCTCAAATTCAATTGAATTACAAATTCAGTTTTTGGCAGGGTGTAACTTTGGGTGGCACTGGAAAGGAAACAGGTGATCGTCATCCCAAAGTTGCTGAAGGTGTACTCATTGGAGCTCATGCAACTATTCTTGGGAATTTACAAGTTGGTGAATGTGTGATGATAGCTGCTGGTTCCCTTGTGTTACACGATGTTCCTCCTCACAGGTAAGTTTAGATGAACTTTTAACAATGTTTTGTACTTGCAATTTCCACTAAGTTATGTTATAAAGGGAATGTTTCTTGTGTTGAAGCATTGTGGCTGGTGTACCAGCAAAGGTTATTGGAAGAGTACGTGAGCATTATCCATCCTTAAACATACAGAAAGGTAAGCAATAACCATTGGGAATTCCTTCTCTCTTTTGTTACAAAGTAGGTTAAAATATTAATTTTAACTCACTTTGAAATGAATTGACAGATGAGAATAAGCATCAATCAGAGAAGTTCCTTTATCAATTACCTAGAAAAAATGGAACGGCAGAAAAGGACTGAATAAATTGAAGTGCCGAGAAAATAATGCAGACAAATGAAAATGCAAATAGAAATAATGGACTGAAGGGCTTGAGATTTTTCACTGAAAATTTCAAGCTTCAACAAGTGCTTGGTACATTTATAGTTTTTGGGGAAGAACTCAGTCATGTGAAGTGTTATTTTTAGCGTTGGAGTCTCTCAGAAAGGGATTGTCTTTCAACCTTAGCGTTCTTGAAGGATACATCACCCTCTTAATAAATTTCAACGAAGAAAAAGTGTATGAAGTTTGAACTCTCAAATGAATGGTGTTATGTATATGTTTCATCTGTTGTAAATATCTCCCGAGTATTTGAATTAAATGAAAAATAAAAAAATAACTGATTGATCGATTCATGGAATGCATTAAATGCAAAACCCTGATTTTGTTTTATAAGAATGCCACCCGCTTTGTTAAATGCACCAATTCATGCCATATCATTGCCTAATTTTTCCCATTTTAAATTATTTTATTTTTAAACGCTTTTTTTTTCACTAAACCAGTTCATTTTACTAATTTTAAATTTTCATTTAAACAAAATATTTCAATTACCTTCAATAATAAAAAAAATTATTAAACATTAATGATCCTTTTAGTTGATTAATGTTATTTTTTTATCAAAATTTATATAAAAAAATCAATTACTATTAACAAAGTTTTTTTTTTCTATTGGTATTGTGCGACATTATTTTCTGTGGCTACAATTATTTAGATTAACATTATTTTAGGTTATTTTTACAATATTTTTTTATTGAAGTTTTCTTTTTACCAACTTTATTTTATGTATGACTTATTAACGTTGTGTGGGAACAATAAGTCATTACTTAAAGGAATTGAATTAGGAATGTGCACTCAAAAATCAATAAATTAAGGTATTAATTATGTGAAAGAAGTTTTTTGCTAGATTAGTCTCCATAATGATGCCTTCATTAGGCTTTAAATTTCGTCTTGGGGAATCTTATTTTAAGGCTTTGCCTTGCACACTTACCTCATATTATCATGTTAATTTATAGGTGTTTGTTGGTTGTAAGTTATACCATGGCCATGTGTAGTAGAGTAGCTACCAACTTGATGTCACACATCTATTAAGATGTTTTGTGTCTAAGGATTGTCGTGGTCTATTAAGATGGTCTGTGTCTAATTTTTAAGCGTCACAAGTCCATTAAAAAGGCATACTTACACCACCATGAGTATTCCTTTGGGCTTTGCTACTTACACCAGGTGTAACATTTTCTAAAAGAAATTAGGTAGTGAGTGACATTAATTAATATAGTCAGTGGTTGTTAGGGGTGTAAAAGTGAGTTAACTCAACTCACATGAACCGAGTTAAACATGAATTGAGTTAAAAGTAAGTTAGAATTTTTGCAAATCTGATTAATCGAGTTGATGAGTTAAATAACTGGGAAGATCTATGCGATGTGAGGAATCGCGGACGTGAGAACGAGTGGGAGAGAATCAGAATTCGATTAGAGTTAGGTTGAAAGTTTAGAAAAAATAATTACATTTTTTTTTAAATAAGTTAGTTGTGGGTCAGGTCACTGTAACTAGGCTCGAACTTGCGTAACTTATTAGTTAAGTAAGTTGAACTCGTTTTAGTTTATAATTATTAAATTTTTTAATTTTTCAATCTAATTTGACTCAAACCGTGATTCTAGTTCATTTTGACATGTTTAGTGATACTAAGAAAATAAAATGATCATGATCAAATCTTTATTTTTCTCTGGCATTTAAGACTTTCTATATTATTATTATAGACTAATAAATACTGTGATTAATTAATAATGAATGAAAATTAGTTTTGTTTGATAATTTAGTTTTAAATTATTATCAATATGATCTCTAAGATAATTATCAATATGATCTTTAGATAACTAAAAGTCCTATGTAATGTTTTTACTGGGTCATTTTTTTACTTCTTATTAGATGTCCTACTTTAAAATTTTCTTCTTTATTACATTATTTTTTCACCTTTTATCATAATATTTTCGAAAAAGTAATGATTCAATAAAAAAATTATGACTCAATGACATTAGGTCTACCACCACACAACTCTCCTTAGTCTTACCTGACAAATTATTAGGTCAATTTTTGAACCATTTGTTACTTTGGGTCATTATTTGGTGCAAAAGTCGCCTTATCAGATAGCTTTTTTCTTTCTTTTTGATGTAGGTGGCCTTTTTTATATGTTGGTTGTTATAGATCATCTTGTTAGATCATTATTTATACGTTGGTTGTAGCAATAGTAGTAACTGACCAAGAAGAAGATCCTGTGTAATTTTAATATACTAACTATAGGAAATTCAATTTTAGAAATATTACCTTGTACCAAAATATTGATCGTAGACACGGTTTAGGAGATGTTAACAAATTAGTTTAAGATCAGCAATTCCTGCAGCAAGAAAATAATTATAACTACTTTTGATTTAACCAGAATTCATTCCATGGACTAACCCATGCAATGATACAAGCTCACAAAAGAGGATTATAATTTATTAATAAGTACGAACCTAAACCAAAATTATCCTCTGGAAAATATCAAAGTGCACGTGAAGATTCTACGTAGTACCCGCCAACATAAAAAGAAGCGACAAACCAAAACTGCTAGGAACAAAAAGCATCCTCCTCTAATCGTGCCTGGCTTGGAAGTCCTCCATGAAAGCGACCAATTTCTGAACTCCAGCCAAAGGCATGGCATTGTAAATAGAAGCCCTCATGCCACCAACAGATCTATGTCCCTTCAGCTGAACCATGTTCTCTTTTTCAGCCTCCTTCATAAACTCTCCCTCAAGCTCTGACTTCTCCAACGTGAAGGGCACATTCATCAATGATCTCACAGGCTTCTCCACCGGACACTTATAAAATCCCTTGCTCCCATCAATTGCATTATACAAAATCTCAGCTTTCTTCTTATTCTTCTTCTCAACTTCCTTCAACCCACCCTGCTCCAACAGGTACTCAAACACCAACCCGCACATGTAAATGCCATAGCAAGGAGGAGTGTTGTAGAGAGACCCGTTCTCAACATGAATCTTGTAATCAAGCATCACAGGAGTAACACCCTGCGCACGCCCAATCAGATCATCCCTCACTATCACAATTGTCACACCAGAGGGGCCCACATTCTTCTGTGCACCAGCATAGATGACACCAAACCTTGACACATCAACAGGTTTGGAACAGAAATTTGAAGACATATCAGCAACAAGAACACCATCGCGGTTCTCTGGAAATGGGTAGTCCTTGTACTCAACCCCATGAATAGTCTCATTTGCACAAATGTGCAAATATTTAGCTTTTGGGTTCTGCTCAAAAGTCCTAACATCTGGAATCGTTGTGTATTTTCCAGATTTCCCAGACCAAATCACTCTGGGTTTGCAGTATTTCTGGGCCTCCTTGAATGCCTTATCGCTCCACGAGCCAGTGACAACGTAATCGACGGGATCGTCAGGGGTGCAGAGGTTGAGCGGCACGGATGCGAACTGGGTGGTGGCGCCGCCCTGGAGGAACAAGACGGAAAAGCCCGGCGGGATTTCCAGGAGGGTGCGTAGATGTTCCTCGGCCTTTTCAAGTATGAACATGAAATCCTTGCCACGGTGGCTCATCTCCATGACGCTCATGCCGGATTCTTCAAAGAGGTAGAGCTCGGACTGGGCGCGTCGAAGTACGGTCTCGGGGAGGGTGGCGGGACCGGCGGCGAAGTTGAAGACGCGGTCTTGGGCCTGGGCCGGCGTAGATGCGCATTGGATAGGCCTGAAAGTGCGCGAAGAGGGGAGGGAAAGGGTGGCGGTGGTGTGGATACGGTAGTTGGAGAGAAAGCGTTTATGGTTTGGGTGAAGAAGGTGTGAGTGATGTGAAGTTGAGATCGACATGGTGATACAAAGGGAAATGAAATCAGAAGTGATTAACTTTTTGCTGAAATTTTCTTTTTATATTTTGGAGGTGTTAGTTTTGGCAAATATCTAGTTATTTCATATATATTGGTATATTTTATTTTTAATATAATAATTTTAATTATGTTAATTTTATTTAAAATTTATTAAAATTTGATATTGAGTAATTATAATGTATATTTTTTAAGTAAAAATTAATGTTGATATATTATTAAAAAATATCAAATATTTTATTAAATTTGTCAAGAGAAAGATAAAAGATACTTTTTAAAAATTAATTACATATTAATATTAATATATATTTTTTCTTAAAACAGACGTAATTTTAATTCTACAATTTTTTTCTCAGAAATGAAATATATCAATAATCAATCAACTAAGTATTTATCAAATAATAAAGGGCTGGGAATAGGTCATTGCAATTCTAAATGCTGTTAGTGCGGTGGTTCAATGAAAGACGGTTGTTTTTAAGGAAGGTGTTTGGTTCATATTTGTCTTGCTAGGTTCGCTAACTGTCGCTAATTTAAACCTACGAGCCGCACATAAGTCTCTCCGAAAAACCATCCAAGGTTCGTAGAATGAAAGTGCACTAAATTAAAATCTTATACTGTTATTTTATTTAAACAATTTTTGTTTCATATTTCAAAAATCGATCATTTAGTTTTCAATTTTCATTTGTCTGAGTTTTTAAATTTTTATTTAATGAATTAATTTTATACAACAATTGAAGTGAATATATTAGATTTATAATTTAAATAGTTCAAAATAAATAAATAAGCAAACGTGCATAAAATAGAAAGTTTGACTAAGATTATGATTTTCTTAATATTAAAACTAAAATCCTTAAAAAAAAATTAAAGATACCAAAAATATAATTTAATAAATGAAACCATGGGAAAAATGAAATTTATTGATCTTACTTGCATAACAAAGAAATTAATGATTAATTAAATATTAAATTCACTTATAATAACAAATTATCTAATAATTTAGCAAAAGTAATTATTTTTTATTACAGAAACTAATATTATAGGTACCTATCGGATCGTGATATTTGTAGTGATATATTCTATTCTTCGTGCTTACACATCAAGGAAGTGTGCTGATAGAAAGACGAACTATGTTTAAGTAAACTTTTATCTGAGAGATATTATTTTCAAGCAGAACTATAACTGAATGTTACAATTTAATGCACGTATTAAAATTATTAATGTTGTAGTAATATTTTATTTTAAAAGTTTAAAAAGACTTTAATTTTACAATAAATCTAGATTTGCAAACTTAGGATTTTATCTTTATATAGAGTTTTGCAAATCCTTTCTAGCCACTAAGAAATGGAGATGTTCTTTCCATTTGTTTTCATAGATGTCGAGGGTAACATTAAATGTTTCAATGCAATCTATACTTCTATTTGAATGAATGTACATAACTTATTATGTCTTTGTCAAATTACCTTTTGTAGAAAATGAACCACATACATAAAAAGAAAAGTTAAATTGTGTATTTAAGATTTTAGCAAAGTTTAGCTTGATAAATACAAATATATGAAGTTTATAATTCACATACTCATTGACAAGTGTCTAATTTATTTAATATTTCATATCCTTTCGACATTTATTATGTATGAAATTGACTTAATCTTTGATTAAAATAGGTCATTTTATTATAAATTACATAATAAGAAATAAATAAGTAAGAAAACAAGAAATTTGATTTGTTTGTCATGTTTTTAAATATATTTTCGAGGAATTAAGAAATATGCACATTTAAATTCCATAAAAATAACTCTGTTATTTATATGTTGATTTTATAGTTTAGTTCTAGGATATTAGATATCATTTGTAATAAATTTTAGAAAACCTATGGGAGGAGGACAATAACTCCAAATGTTTGTATTTGAATTTATCATTTTGAGTAACTATACTCTCTCATGTTAGGATTCAATGTAAACTTCTCTAATTCTATGCATTATTGTTTATTCAAATATATGTTACATTTTTTATTTACGTGTTCATTATTGGATTTATGCTTATTATTTTGATTGTATGATCTCATCTTACTTCATCAACTTAAATTAAGTGAAAAGTGGTTAAGTTAAGATCCAATGTTGCTAGATGCTAGAAGTAAATCTCTTTTAGCTAAGTATAAAGTTTTGTTATTAATGAAAGAAGTCATTCAATCAAGGATAGAGGAATTGTTAATAAAAAACGACAAGTGCATCGTAAGTAACAAGTAATAAATAGGAACTTATACAACAAAATAACAACTCTCACAATTCACAACTCAAATGGACAAGAAAGCTCACAAAACACAAATAATTTTTTTTTATATTTTTATGAAGTAGTTGGTGTGCAACATGAAATTAACATAAAATATTTACAAATGTTAATACTAGATTTCATCAACTTCATTTTCATGTATACACAATCATCTCAATTTCAAATTTATGTCAAAATCAACTCACAAAATTACTTAAATTCTACTCCTAATAACTTTGAGCATATGATAACTATCAAGTTCCAATTTATTGAGTCTTAACAAGCAACCATACATTAAGTTCAAAAGTCTTAAAATTACTAAGAAAACCTATTATATTCCAAGATATAAGCTTTATTAGGTATTCAACTTCAGATATAGGTTCAAAAGACATTTTTTAACCCCTCAAAAACCATAAACAAGTCATGGATAATCAAGTCACAACAAACATTAAGCACAAAAATCAAATATAAACTTGAATTGAAAAAAAAAAATATATATATATATATATATATATATATATATTTTAACTTTTTAACTTTTTAATTTATTTTTAATTGCTATAAAAAACAGAATTCATTCATCTCAAAAATAATTCCATGCATCACGGGTCAAAAGACTAGTTTCTAACATACCACACGCATGGAGGCTCTCGACTCCTAAGCAAAAGTTTTTGGCAAGCATGGTTTTTCCGAGGTGGTACATAAAACAGAACACCCTTTTGTGGTCCGAAAAAAGCAAGCTTACCATGTGAAAACAAATTTAGTCGTTTCAGAGGCAGAATAACAAGCTCAAACAAAGTTTGATTCATTGTTTCCGAATCCCCAATAGAGTTTAAATAAAAGTTAAAATTTAATTGCAGTCACAAATTTTTGCCCATCCAGCAGTTGACAAGAGGGAGGTATGGGGTGTCAAAGGATCATTTTCCATAAAAGATACAAAAATAAAGTGCAGAAGAATGCAAAACGAAAAGAAAAGAGGAAATGAAACCAAGGTCTCCTAAGAAGAAAGGGACGAAATAGAAAGTTAAAACCTGCAAAATAAAGAAACAACATCCGATTACCCTCGATGTCGGAGTTCTTCAACTTGCCCACAGATATTCGTTCATAAAACCTTAAGCTGTCAAACAGAACGTGCAACTTGGGTTTTCCACTGTCTTGCCCCGTGCTCTTAGAAAGCTTAAGATAATAAGTTGATCTCAGACAAAGTAGCCCATCAGTCAGAATCTTAAATTGTTGATCAAGCATATCTGAGCATTCAAGATCCCCGGGGGAACCAGTTAGTTCGGTCAATGATATCGAGGTCGACGATCGTATTTCCCTTCCACGGTTTCTTAGCGTCGATGTTAGGGAAGAATGTGAGTAACCATCAAAATAAACGTAGTCAACACATTTTATCTGAATCTCACATGCAACTCTCATGAGGTCTTTGCACCATGCAGATAAAAGCAATGGGAAGTGACGTTTTTCATACCATAACGTTCCATCCGGGTTTGGCGGCAGGAAAAGATTATCATCGGGGAGATAAAATTTCAGAAATCTCAGACAAGGCATCTTTTTAAAAGTTCCTACTTTCAGCGACAAATCTTTAATTCGAAACACATCTACTTGCATGCCCTCCACCTTATCGGTTCCCTGAAAAAAATCAGCATAACACTGAGTCATAATTTCACACTGGTTGAAATTTGAAACACACTTGTGAAGTAATATAGTTTATGTCTCTTACCAGCTTATACCTCAATACATTGTATACTTCCTCTTTATCCCTCAATCGGGTGCGTCTTCCTGGATGTGTAATACATTCTTGACGAACTATTTCGCAACCCATTTGTCGTATCAGGTCATGCATTTGTATTATATTCTCATTTGAAACTGTTATAAGAGCTTTCCGTTGGAGAACCTCCACTCCACTAGCTCCATGAAGTCCCCATGCATCTAGTTGCTCTATAACATAGGCTTTGGTGTCTTCTTGGAAAAAGAATGCAATATCTAGGAAGGCCTTTTTCTCTACTTCGTGCAGTCCATCATAACTGAATCTTAACACACTTTGAATTTTCTCATTGGGATACTTCTTGAATTTGCTTAATGCACACTTCCATGTGTTTATAGTACTTCTGGAATGGAATTCTGCACCTAAAACTTTTAAGGCTAAGGGATTACCCTGGGCGATTTTAAGCACCTCTTCAGTTAGTTTTTCATATCCCATTTTGGGTTGGCTTTCATTGAAGGCAATCAAGCAGAAGAGCTTGAGAGAATCAAGAGGTTTCATTTCCTTGACCTCATGAATTTGATCAAGTCCTCCACTTGTAAGCACGTCCTGATCTCTACTTGTCATTATCACCCTACTCCCTGCACCGAAGCAAACTGGTTTTGTGACCAGATACCTTAATTCTTCAGAAGTATTTACATCATCAAGCACTACCATAACTTTTTTCCGACCCAGCATTCTTAGAGCAGAACTGAAGAATCTTGCTTTGTTTGTATGGAGACCTTCTCCTTCAAGTAGTTCATAAATGAGCCTCTCTCGTAAATTGCTGAATCCATGCCGTTCCAATTCTTCTCTTACATTGAAGAAACAGCAGCCATCATACTGAAGAGAACATTTATCAAATATAGCACGAGCAATGGTTGTCTTACCTATGCCACCCATGCCCCAAATTCCAACAAAAAGAACTTCATTTGATTCTACTCGCAGTAACGACTGAACCTGTGTAACGTTTTGATCAATTCCAACAAGACCATTTGATTCACTTGGGTATAACTCGCTCAATTTTACTGAAATGTCTTCCACAATTTCATCGACAAGATCAGATTCATTCCTAGCATTTAGAAGAAAGTAAGCAGATATATAATAAATGTAATTCATACAACTTTTCTTTTTCAACACTATTTCTTTGTTTCTGAATCCATCAACTAAATTGTTAATCACTTTGCACACAAACTTTTCTTGTATAAGAGTAAATGGTGAAAAAGAAAAGATACATCAGTGTATGTAAAAGACAAAAGGAAAAAGAAAGAAAAAGAAAAGGAACTTACTCATAATTTGTTGGATAATGAAATCCGGATAAACGACCAGCTTTTTTCAAAGCTGATCTCCAACTTTGTACCTTGAGCATGTTTTCCTTGAACTCTTCTTCATGTTCAGCTAAAGCATATCCATAATCTCCATATTGGTGTCGCACGTGTGATGGATCTATATTGAAGAAAACAGGTAGGACAATCTGTTTATTTGTTTCCATGCATTCAATCATTTTGGCAAGCTCTTCCAGGCACCAATGTGATGAAGCATAGTGTCTGGAGAATACGACCAATAAAATTTTTGAGCCTTCAATTGCTCTGAGAAGTGAGGATGATATTTCACCCCCTTTATCAAGTCTCTCGTCCACATAGGCATCAATATGTTTGCGATGTAATTCTCTTTTCAAATGGCTAAGAAGACCTCTGCGGACATCTATGCCTGTGAAGCTGATGAACACATCATTTCTTATTTCACTAACATCACAACAAGTTGAGGTTGCCATTTCGCATAATCAAGACCAATATTTTTCTTAATGAATCAAATCTGTCCTTCCCACAAAAATCAAATAACTAAGGAGCAAATATTGAAAGCTTTATTTTCTATGCTTCAATGAGGCGACTTGTTTGTGGTAATTTTATGTTATTTCATTATGAACTGAACTGAGGAAAAGTAAAGTAACGAGTACATCAGAATTGGATTCGCTAAAGATTTTTACGCGAAAAGTTATTCGGCATTTCCTGTTATGTGAATATGTTCCAAGTTTTATCCACTCACTTCAAATAAATTGTACCAAATACATGCATAAGGAAAAATCTTAAAATCCATAATATACGAATTCAAAAAGAATTTTGTATTTTACAATAAATATTATAATTTGGTATAAAATTTATTAAATACTTGTAAAATGAAAACGCACTCCAAATTTGACAGTAATTTGTTAAAGACTGATCATTATATACGATGAATGAAAACTAGTATGAGATATAACACATATTCTTCAATTCTTGACAAGGAAAATGAACTAGATACTACGATAAAATTATTTTATATTAGTTTTTATAGTCAATTCTAAAATTGAAATAGGAAGAGTCGTCACTGAAATCAATTTTTTAAATTTTAATTATGAACTAATGTACTTTCTGCATTGGTTTATGATTACATTTATACAGAATACCCGCACATTCTACATTATTTATTCTACATTATTTAAGAATAAAACTAATGTTGAATTATTAAGAACACTCAATAGAGTTGATGAATTCTATATTGGTTATACTCATAATCAATTTAGAAAATATATATTCTAAATTGGTTAATAAAAGTCTGACATTTTTTTTTAACGTGTTGTTTAGTGAGCATTTTTTATTAAAACCTAGGTGATACATTATTTATCTTCTATATAATAGAAATGACAAATAAACATATTTTGGTGGATATTATCGAAATCTTATTATTTTATCTCGTAATTCTCTTTTTTTATTTATTTATTTTTTTCTTCTAATTGTTTAGCTTATTCTGAATTTACACAATTTACTTATATCTTTACCTACTATCACAATTTTGATTGCAATTTTTTTGTGCGATTATGTTGAACAGTGTATCATTAATTTCAATGAATCAAATACATCTTACAATTTATTATTTTTAGTGATATGTATTTATTATTTTCTTCACGTGAAAATATTTGATTTGGAATTATTAATTTCATAACCTTTCATCTATTAATAATAGAAAAAAACATTAATCTTTTTTATTCTTTTTAATCTTCAACTTTTGTTTTATTTAAGAAATTTTACATTCGTTAACATAATTTTCATTATCTCTTAATGGTTCAATTAGTTCTAAATCTAGAAAGTTTTATCAAATCTCCAATATATTTTCCATGTTATATCATTTCCTTAAATATACATTTTTTTTCTTTTGTGCGAACCAAATTATTTTCAAAACACATATTATATTTTTACTTATATATAATACTTTATTTGTTTGTTTATTTTTATCAAGAATACTTTGATGATTTCTTACATAATTATTTTATTTTTTAATTCTTTATTATAAATGTAATTTTATCATCATAATTGTATGATAATATTTCATTTATTATTAATATATAATAATTTAATGTCATTATTATCATTAATAATGTTTATCACCATTCACCATAGATTGAAATTTAAAATAAAAGATTTCAGTCTAACAATTATTAGTTCAATGTTTTGTTCTCGGTATGATTTTATTATAGTGGTGTATTATCATTTTTATTAATCAGTGTATAAAAAAACAAATATCATTAGAATTTAGGAAAAGAAAGTAAAGAGACATTTGAAATATTTTTAAACTTAATATTTCTCTTATGTAATATTTTATAGGTTTAATATATTATTTGGTCTCTACTTTTAGGTTTGGTTCAAAGTGATCTTACCTTTTAAAAGAGTTCAGTAAGATCTCATATTTCGTTAAAAAATGTTCAATGCGGTCCTTTTCGCTCATGACGTTAAAAACATAATTGTGCAAATGTCACTGTAGCCAAACCTGAGTGAGTTGTGCAGTTTGATGAATACATGACATGTTTGAAGAGGTTGCACTGTGTAAATATTTAAAAAAAATTAAAATGACGTAAGTTAGGTGCAAATCCCAACAGCCACACCATCTACAAATCCTCCAACCTGGTCCAAAATCATGGAATGACAACGTCATTGCATTTGCATCAGAGGGCTCCACCCCAATAATCCTCACCTTTGGATTAACCCTCTTCACATAACAATCACCGCAGAGCAGATAACTCCCTTTTCTAACAACTCCTTGGGAAGCTTTGCCATCATATTATAAGCTCCACGAATCTTAAATGAGAAAACGGGTTGCAAATCCTCTCTCTTGAGACAAACCTTAACCCCGAGTTTCCCATAAAGCTTTGGCGCCACTTGTAGAGAGGACTCAATTGCTACGTCGTAGACCTTCGAAGTGAAAATATTCGTCAAATAACTCAATACATTCATCACGTTGTCGCCACCACTGTCGGACCAAGATCGGTGGGGAACTGCACCGACGTATCCCGGTAGGTACTAGAGGGAATCCGGTGAGACTTGGGGGCGCGGGGGCCACTAGTTGGGTATCTTTTTGCAAGTGAAGAGTTTCAATGCATGTGGGGGCAACGATAAGATGAAGAGAAATATTATATTTTCTTCTTGTAAAAAAGGGTTCTTGATATTGACATTTAATGGTTTTTGTAATACCTACCTTGGGAAGGAAATCATAATATGGTTAATACTAAGTGCATGAAATTGTTGTTGTGAATGTGCTGTCCCTTATTGATAGGTAAAGTACACAAATGATAGCTTATTCTGAATTTACAAAATTTACTTATATCTTTACCTACTATCACAATTTTGATTGCACTTTTTTTGTGCGATTATGTTGAATAATGTATCATTAATTTCAATGAATCAAATACATCTTACAATTTATTATTTTTAGTGATTTTTATTTATTATTTTCTTCACTTGAAAATATTTGATTTGGAATTATTAATCTCATAACCTTTCATCTATTAATAATAGAAAAAAAACATTAATCTTTTTTATTCTTTTTAATATTTAACTTTTGTTTTATTTGAAGAAATTTTGTATTCATTAACATAATTTTCATTATCTCTTACTGGTTCAACTAGTTCTAAATCTAGAAAGTTTTCCATGTTATATCATATCCTTAAATATACATCTTTTTTTCTTTTGTGCGATTTTTGTATCAAATTATTTTCAAAACACATATTTGATCCTTTTTACTTATATATAATACTTTTATTTTTTTGTTTATTTTTATCAAGAATACTTTGATGATTTCTTACATAATTATTTTATTTTTCTAATTCTTTATCATGTAATTTTATCATCATAGTATGATAATATTTCATTTATTATAATATAATAATTTAATGTCATTTATCACCATATTGAAATTCAAAATAAAATATTTTAGTCTAAAATTGAACAATTATTAGTTCAATGTTTTCTTCTCGGTATGATTTTATTCTAGTGGTATATTATCATTTTTATTAATCAGTGTATAAAAAAACATATATCATTAGAATTTAGGAAAAGAAAGTAAAGAGACAGTTGAAATATTTTTAAACTTAATATTTGTCTTTTTTAAAAGTATTTTTTAACTTTATCAATTTTGTTTCATTATGTGCAAAATTAATAGATGTTTTAATTGTCATGAAATTTTATTTATGTGTAATTATGTAATATTTTATACTATTTTCAGTTTTATCTAATTGTTATTTGATACTTTGATTTGATGTGTAAATTATTTCTTTCTAAATATTTGAGAATATAATTCTTTTGATATTTACTATTTGATAATATCAAGTCTCCTTTGCCATGATTTTTTTTATAAAGATTAATTAATTGATATTGAAACAGTAAGCAAATGGATATGAGCATGAGTATCAATATATCCATTATTTGGTGAAGATGGAATGAGATAAAAAATTATACCCATTGGATACAGATATGGGGATGACTTTTTTCTTTGGATATGGAGATAAGATAATGAGATTCATTCACACTCACTCGCTCTCATACCTATAAATATTAGACAATTTTAAGGATTGATGTTTATAAGTTTAATAAGTCTTAGAGTTTACAATGAGAATTTTTTAGGAATTAAATGCATAAAGAGTTAAGTTATAAAAACAAAACATGTAAATTATATATGCAAACACTATTCGCTTATGCTTATTATATTTTTAAGGCATAATTTTTAATTTGGTTTTCATATTTAGACATTTGATTTGTTTTGATCCTTTTATTTGTTTTTTACTCAATTGAGCTCCAATATTTGTTAAATAGAGTCAACGTGGTCCCTTTTGTTAAATTGGCGTTAATATCGTTTGAAAGATGATTATGTGTCAGTCCAATAAAAAGGTTTAGTTAGTATATTGGTTTTTATATTTTTTTTATGACTTAATTAAGTCTTTATATTTTTTACATGAAAACAACATAATCCCTTTTTCATCAGTGTTATCCTCCACATATCTTAGGATCGAACCTAAAATCATAATTGGATTCATGTGTCAATCTTATTAGATGATATACTAGATAAATGACACACCTTTACATGCTAAGTAAATGATACAACTTTTACATGTTTTGTAGATGATACACTGCTTAGTATTTGATATATCATATACATACCAAGTGGATGATATAATATAGCGGTTATATTAAATGAAACAATATTTAATTAGAGTTGAACCCTTAAAAGACACTTTATGAGCATAAAAGCATGAAAAACAATTTTCTCTATTACATATCAAACTGTTGTAAAAGCTAAAGATAACATACCAATTTAAGATAAAGAAGTATCTTATCAAGTGAAAAAATTAAATAACATTTATAACATAACTATATTCACCTTTCTTGTATTACTTTTATACTAACCACTACAAAAAATCATGAAATTTTCGATGGAATATTACCAATGAAATAAATTCGTCAGTAA